ACAAATCGATAGACTTGATTGAATGAGATTTTTTGTAATGTTATACACTGGGTTGTAATATAAATAAATTGCTTGTTTTTAGAGAAGTGAAGTCAATTTATACGTAGGAGGGAACAGGACACATGCATGTATGCGGAATTAATCTGATTTGGATAATGCTAATAACCCGTCCGTTGAAGATTTATGGATGAATTAACTCAGTGTTAAATTTTTACATGTTGTAAAATATGGGAAAAGCTTTGGAATCTTTAATTGTCGGTGCAGCAGACTGCTTAAAACCAAAACCATTAACGTCACTCGCTTGGCTTGAAATAATTAAGTAGCTCCCAAATCCCTTAAATTACCTCACCTTTATGATATATACTTTAAATTTATATCATCTCCCTTTGGGGCTAATCTCGCTAAGACAACTTATCTCTAATAATTTTAAACTTTGACCATAAGCTTTTTAAAAGATTTATTTCGTACCGGTGTTTTCATAAATTTAGTCAAAGTAAAATGTGTTTCTTTGAACATGATGAAATTTTTCTTTTTAAGATTGGAAAATATTAACTTAATAACTGACCTTTACTTAAGCACTGAATTATTTGAAGACAAAAGTATCATTTTGTCGAAATGAAAAACCTTTAATTTTCCGATAAGAATCGCGGCTCAATTGACGTCTTATTAATTTTAATGGAAAGTGCTATTCAGCTCCCTTATAATTTTTTTATTAAAAATTAGCAAAATTAATTCTTTTAAAACTTTTCAATTTCAACCAACTAAAAAATATTATTCAATTTTTTAACGTAGTTGAGTACAAAATTAATCGGTCTCTTTTTAGCCTTTTTGTAAAACCTACCTTTCTTCCTAAACCCTATTTCCACATTTTTCATTCAAAATTAATTCCATTTCCGGTTTTAAACACAATCTCGCCTTGTAGCCGGCATAATTTACAAGAAATAATTAAAGTGTGCATATCTTTGATGATATCGAAGCTTCGATACAATTCGAATCACAAGCCTGGTTCTCCAAAAATTTCAAATATTCCAACCTCTTTATGAGGTGTTATCATGCGAAAAAGGTATAAATAACTTGCGATGTTTATCATTACAGCAGACATGGGCACGGAGAGAAAAATCGTATAGGGAATACAACTCTAATTACGATAAGATATATATTTTTTGTATTTTGTTGTTATTAACAATTTTTTTAAAATGAATGGGTGTGTGGCAATATATCATTTGAAAAAGTTTTAATTGCGTGCAAAAAATGCCTCCAAATCTTATTAATTGCTTGGAGGGGGACAATTTCAGGGGTGATTTGCGTAATTGATGAGGTCACGCAAATTCAAGGGGAGATAAAATATACAAGTGGATTTGTGGCGTTTGAGGTAGTTTTATAATTGGAAAATTTGATGAGCTGTTGAGGGATGAAAATTTATTTAACCACAAGAAAAACTATTAAATATTATTCGACGCTTTAGAAATAGTTAGCTTACAAACTAATTCTCTACAGTTACCTATCGGGGAAAAATAAAATAATAGAAGCTTTTTTACTAAATAATAATAGAATGACCTCATAGTAATTGCTGTTGTGACAAACCCAGATAATGACTATATAATGCTTTGAAAGCTTTAAATGAAACTATTATTGTAACAATTCTCTAAAAACAAATGCTTTATGCTACTTATAATGATGATATTACATTAACCATTAGAATATAATCTTACTTATTTTCATAACAACAGTTATAATAGCAACAACTTGTTTGTCTTTTGCCGTCGTAATGTTTATATAAATAAAACATTTTATTAAAATAAAGTGTTTGCAAATGTAGATAAAGTATTTTTCTTAAGACATTTTTAATTTAAAATATGTTAAACTTAACCTTTATTTAAATAAATAATTTAAGTGCTATTTTCTAGGGAAATGCATCTAACCCCATTTATACATTATTCACTCCCTTCTCCTTTTGTTTATTTATGCAAGAAAGAAAGAAGTGTAATGTGGCGCCTCTTGAGTATGTGAAAAATTACACCTGTCGATATGTTTCTCGCATAAAGCTTGCGGCAAGTAAAAATCAATACGCCTCAAAAGTGGCGTATCTTCCGACTTTCCTATCGGTATTTACTCTGTTTAATTGAACTTAAAACTGGCCGCAACACAATGATTGGAAAACCATAAAAGTTGAACGAATGGACTTGGCCCCTCCAATTTGCTTGACCGAAATTTTCTCAAAATCGCTCTTTCGTAAAAGTTATGTAAATTTTTTATGAATCGTGGACACATTTTCTCTCTCACTTCCGAGATGTCTGAAACCCGGATATGCAGTTATTCCGCCAGGTTTAGTACAGGAGTTCTTTACGCAAACGGAGTTTTTGAGGGAAATTGCAATTAGAGTCGCGTTGAAAAATTTATACATCTGAAAATGGAAAGACGCCAATTACATATTTTGTTACGACAGGGATCTACTTCCTAGTCCCAAGTTTTAACCTCGGAGTACCTGTTCGTGTAAGCGTGATGTTGACTTATTTAATATGTGAAACAACTGGTGACAAAAAGTTACTTGAAATGTTGTAGACTTCATGCTAATATGCAAAAACAATCTAAAACAGAATATTTCATTTCAAACTATCATCTACGGTATCTCCTATTTGTGTCCATTATTCCATTAAAGTTCTCACTTGAATACCTAGTGCAACTGTTTTTGCAAAGTTGAATGGTTAGGAAACAATGATCAGTAAATTTTTCTTTTCACTGAGTCAGAATAATAAAGATTTAGTGACAGATTTACTCGTTTCAGGTTAAGCAAAAAATCTTATTTCTTTGCAATTTGGGCGTAAAATCAAAACTTACATTTTTTTCCTCAATCCAGAAACATATGTATGCACCTAATCATTAGGTATAATTATCGTTCAGAAATCTATGAAATCACAAAAGTTTGAAGTAAAGTAAAATTTAATTTTTTGATAACGCTAACCGAGATCTTAAAACATTTACGTTATGTCAATTTTTAGTAATTATAAGCTAAAATTTTTGCCAAAATAACAATGTTTTAAACCATATGTACGCAGAATGTTCACTTGAATTGATTGGCGTGGTTTAGAAATTATGAACAAATATAGGTTTTTTTTCTGTTTTTGCCTTAGCATATCATAAATCTTGTTTCTTCCTTTAAACTAGAACAAGAGAATTGTTTTCCAGCGGTACCAGACATAAGAGTTACTACTCATAGTTTTTGCGTAATTAACTGATAACTTCTCCAGAAATCGAACAAAACTTCAACAAAATCAATAAAAAAATCTTTAGAATCAGGCCGACTGAAGTTTTTGCACTTCTAGAGGTTCTAGAGACTTTGAAAAAACGTTGTTGGGTCGAATGTGCCTATTTCTAAAAAAAAATAGGCTTATAAATGTTAGATAAATTGATAAAATCAACAAGAAGACACTTTGACGCGACATTATCGATTTTAATAGACAAATTTGCTTATTATTGGTATTCCAGTTATTGTAAACTAAAATTTTCGAGCACAAAATGTAAACTCGCGAGCAAATAATTAGAGAAAGTCTTCCAAATAGATTTCAATTTAAAGGTGACAAAACTAACATTTATCTTATGCATTCAACTCTTACCTTCCATTTATATCACATGACTCTTGCATTTTGTGTTTTCCTGTTGATTTATTGGATGAAATAGTACAAACAAGAATTCAGAACTTCTTACGTTTTATTTATCTTTTTATAAAAATGGCCATTTTTGTAAATCCAATTAAAATTGTAGAATCTGCAAATACAGTGCACTTTCAGTAAAAGTGGCTGTAAAAATTGCAGTCACGTTACACTGCTTCACCATTTTTTTTACCGCTTTATTAATAAAAAAGCGTGGTATGTCTCATATGAGCCCGGCAAAGGTGGAAAAAATGATAAATTATTCGTTAATTTTTAATCGAAATGTATAGCTGTGGGTGGCACAATATTCCCAAATTGTCACTATTTTTATTTTTACCGTGACACAAAAAAGTGTTTTTCTGAATATAAACTGATACATTCATTATTCTTATTAGCTGTCTGTTCGTTTTGATTTATTGGCCACATTTGTGTTGCTTAAGTCGGTTTAAGATCGATTCCAATGAACGTCAAAAATTTTTTCGTTTGCATAATTTGTATCAATCGGAAAAAAATAGCTTTTTGATCAGATTTGTTTCATTAAGCTTTTCTGTAAAATGTATTAATTTGGGTGATGGTGCAGTTACATTTCCGGCTATGTAGAAGCGAATGAATCGAATCTTGCTATCCTATCGGTCGTTAAAAGTGTCAGCCTTTCAGCACGTCCGTCTATTAATGTTTGATGAAATTCATTGGACCAAATTGCGGTACAGTTTATAGTTTGTCGAACGCGAGACCAAATAGGTGCCGGTGTGTATGGGACGTCCGGCCGTTTCATTGATTTTATCCGGAGTCCTCTGCACACTATGGTTTATGTGCCCCTTTTCACCACGTTTTCTCAAATATTTGATGCGTGTACCGCCATGTTTATTTTATGGGACGCCGTAAATAAATCGCTCGAGTTTGTATTTGTCTTGCACTCGCAAAAACAAATGTAAACATGAATTCGCAACGAGCGTTTCAATTTTTTACGTTTATCCCGGGTAATACATCTTTCAACGTGATTGAGAAAGCTCATAGACTCGGCCTGTGACGAGCAATCTCCCTCCGACGATGATTAATCGGACAAACGTTTACGCCTCCTTAGCATGTATAGCCCGGAGCATTTTCCCAACTTTTCGCATTTATGGGAGTTAAGCTGACGGAAACGTAAACAGAAAGTATTGACACAATCCAGTCGGATCTCACGCTGTGTAGCCCAACGTAATTATTTTCTTTTCAGCTTTTACATACAGGACTGATGGGGGAATTCTAAGGTGTACTTTTGAATGCATCACATTGCAGGAAGATGTTTTTAACGCGAACTGGCGAATGGGCGAATAAGCGATTGCTAACTAAATGTTTTGTTCCCAGGTGTGGTCTACAATGTCGATGTGCATCAGTTGAGGTGTCTAGAAGCTGCGTAATTGCGGATCTATTAAATTAAAGGGTAAGTACTGTAAATTTCCTCTATTACAGTCACTTTAGAATGTGATGACTTGATTTAATTAGACACCTGATTCTATTATGAGAAGCGTCTTATTGTAAAACAAAGCTTTTATGTCGAAAATAGGATCAGAACCCCTTTATATAATTATGGTTTTTAGAGAAACAAAAAGGAAATAGCTATTACCGTTGTAAATAAACACAAAGCCTACATTCTAAACAAATTATTGATATAAAAATTAGTGAACTGAATAAAAATTTTAGCCACCCTTAATAACATTTTTACGAAAAATAAAAACAGAGTGTTTAAAATGCGAAACATGTTTGTAAACTTAGATGTAAACGCTGTGGGTTAAAATGATTTCAATTGAATGATATAAACAGGAATTAGTAATGTTTAGTTGAGAACTGAAACATGAAACCAATAATCTAATACAATGTTGCATATTGGTGGCTAACACATAATTTCATCAAGCAAATTACTTCTAGATTGCCATTCATCCACCATTTAGTAATTACAATAGTGGTTAGTAACAAACAATATTATTTTGATGACTGATTTTATCGATACTATTGACATTAAAACTAAAATGATTTTGCTACTGCACTTCTTAATGACATAACTTCAAAGTTATATTCATTGGTAATATTTTCTTGTTTACTGTTCATACCAAATATACTAGCTGAATAAAACGTATGAAACCAAGTGTTTTTTGCTGAAACTAATTACTTTATTGAAAACATAATTAGTGCAGAGTAAAGTACATACAATAAAAATTAGTATTCGAGTTTTGCACAAAAATAGAATTTTTGACCATTTTGACAATTTTTTTAAACACTACTTAAAATCTCAAAATGACCTATAATTAAATAAAATTGTTTTTAAACAGTAGCTTTTTTTAATAGTTTAGTAAATTTGCGTTCCGAGCTCATTTATGAAAGTTTTCCGAACGTAATCGAAGGAGTCATGCCTTTCAGGGGTGGTTTCGGATCGGTTAAAATAGAATCAGAGATTTTTTTGAATTTTTGAATCCATTCGGAACCACACCTAAGTAGGTACCTGCACAAAAAAAAACGATCTGTCTTAAATTAATCGCATGAAACGACCAGTTTGGTTAAGATCGGAAAATGATGAGCTCGGAGTTTATATAAAAAAAACACTGCTTAGAAACAATTTTATTTAATTTGCTGTCATTTAAAAAAAAATGCAAATCTCTAAAACTAAAAAGAATCTTGAAAAATTGTATTCTTAAAAAAACGATCACATTTTTAGTAGGAATTTTTCCCGGCACTAATTATTTTTTTCGTAAAGTAATTAATTTATGAAGCTAAATAAAGATAACGCTTGGTTCTATACTTTTTATTAGTATAACTTTTTAGAATTGATCCTTATATTAAACCAAAAGAGGAATAAACAAATGATTAAGGTGTGTTAAAGAAATAAACATATTCTTTTGAAGGTTCGCTTATGACTTTATTATGAACCCAAAGGAGCAAAGCTTGTATTCTCATCATTTACAAGGCAAAATTGTCGGAAATTTTATTCTGTATTGTCACATTCTGACGCAAACATGTCTCATATTTCTTTCATGCACCAAACGTTTCATCTTGCCGATCTTGCCGATCGAAATTATGTCGTAAACAGTTTTAATTAAGCTGTTTTTTAATTATTGCCAATCTTTTTCGGGAGCGACTTAAGTTTCAACAAGCTACGCTAATGATAGTTGAATTTTGAATTCATGTAAAATCAATTGCATGTCTCCGGTTAGAACTTAACTGGTGGTTAACAAGAAACCGATAGTTCAGGAGACAATTACCATCTTAACAATCGAGGTCGCTTAACATCTAAAAGCGCTTAATTGATTTGCTTAATAATGTGAAAGTTCCCCTAACACTTTTTTGGATCGACAGACCCTTTTAACAAGGATGTGACAAGAGAAATCTATCTCCAATTGAATTGCCTCGAAATCGGGTTGAAATAAGTTTGGCCGGATTTGCTCCGAACTTGTAAAGAATCTCTTTGAAAAAAAATTACATTGAGCCTCAAACTAAATTTAATTTTTTCAAGATTTGTTTGCGGTGATCTTTTTCCGTTATTTAATTGTGAAATAACCGCAATCTCGTGGGATTGTAACCCTTTCCCATTCTATTTAAATTCAATCGTAAATTGCTTAAATTTTCTACATAACGGGAATTAGGGAAAGCCACGATATCGACGTTTACTTTTCTCCTTCGGTTAGTGCAAGATTTGCGAATTGCATTCGACCTCATTTAATTCAAATTAAGAGGGAAATGGAGCCGGTTTTAGAGCTAATTGCCAAACTATGAAAACATTTTAGCTTTTGCTTTAGCTTCGGTTTTATCGCTTCTCGAATTGAATGCGGGCAATGAAATTTTATTCTTTTTTTTTATATAAACTGAACGACTTTTACAGTGTTGTTTCCCATTGTAACATGAAACATCCAATTGAACACTGTTACGGAGCCATTGTTAAGTGTTTAATTTGCAATCCATGTTTAGGATCGGGTGTTGCAGTGTTTGGTCTCAAAAGAGTGATTAGACAAATAATTTCCACACAGCAATTATGTCACAATGGCAGAATTGAACCGAGAATAAACAGCCAATAGCCCCACAGCCATTTTAAATTACTATGTAATCAACTTACCTCAGATAAAAATTGTAAATACACGAAAAATAAAACCAGAAAAAATACCTATTTTTCCTCTAAAAGATGAACTTGGTGAAATATTGTAAACTACAAAAATTAGATGTACTTGAGAGATTTAAAACCGTAAAATTGTTAAATGCACACAAGCAGACAATGTATCGGGATAAAATTGAATTAATTCCTGCAAATTGCTTCACAATATGCCCTTTGGCCAATTCATCGGCTCAATATTATCGTCATCATTAATTAATTTCATTAGGTGTAAATAAAACAAGTGTTTTGCTTATTTCGGTGTGAAATCGGGCAGATTTCGAGCGAAAACGATTATCTTGTTTCGCCAAAAGGGAAAACATCAAAGCTCTATCGCATTGTAGTTCCACACATAGCTTCGTGAATACATATAAACGTAATATTCTTATTCATACATAAATTCTGCATTTCCGGTGTATGTGCATTGAAATGAAATACACTACATTCGCATGAAAATTTTCAATGAATTTTTTCGAGCGCGGTAAATGTGGTCAAAGTGTGTTGTATTTTTTTATAGCATGTCCGGAATGTTGCAAAACGTTTCAAACATTTGCACGGCAATTTAACCACCCGCAGGACCTGAAATTAGAGCAAAGATATGAGCCAGATATGGCGCATTCCATAAGCGGACACCGACGGTGACTTTCTTTTTATACGGCTAATGAAGGTGTCCGCTTAAAAGAAATAATTAAAAAAAAGATATTAAAAAGATAATATTACAGTATTTGATACAATAATAGAAGTTATCAACTACTTTTTGACGAAAAGTAGTAGTTTGTTTCTTGAAATGAGCTAATCTATAGAAAAGTTCATTTTTCTCTTGATTTGTTGGAATTATTTTTCTCAGCGTTTAAATCCCATCACATTAGCGGTTTTACTTTTTTGATAGCGATGTTAACAAATGTGTTTAGGCAAATTAAATAACAAAAATGTTTGTGAAAAACAGAATTTTAATAAATAGCAATTCTAAAAAATAGTTTTAAGATAAAAAAATACAAAGTCATTTTTAACAAGAACAATCATTATTCAATTAATTAATTAATTTTCAAATGACATCGTTGTCAAAAAAATAAAATCGCCAATGTAATGAGATTTGAAAAGCAGAGAAAAATCAAGACCAAAATCAAGAGAAAAATGAACTGTTCTTCCTACTGAATCAAAATAATAAAATTTTAATTTGCTCATTTCAGGTTAAGCAAAAAATGTTATTCCTTTGAAGTTTTAGCGTAAAATTAACGATAACAATTTTTTCTCTTCTTGTAAACACAATCCGGGGACATACTGTATAATATTCTGTCCGCTTAAGGTAGAAATTTTGTTTTCAACGTTCCGAATTGGATGTCCTCGTCCGTTTATGAGAGAGTCCTTTTAACAGAGGGACAACGACATTCGAAATATAAATCGGGTCAAAACGGGGCAAATAAAAATGTCCGTTTAACAGAGGGGTCCGCTTATAGGAGGTGTCCGTAAAGAGAGTTTTCACTGTATATTAAGGCTTTTTGTTGAGATGAAAGAATAATGACCATTACGTACTTTATACTATACGAAGAAAATAACGGTTCAAAGCAAAGCCATCTAAGTAATCATACAGAAATTATTCTATTATCTATTCATCACGCTTAACATTCTTTTCTACTTGATATTTGAACTTCTTTTATTTCAATAAGGAGTGACACTCGTCGAAATTTTGGCAGCAACTGCAAATTGTTTGCTGCCACTTTTCTCCTAAATTTTGCAATTTAAGTCAGAAAAAGGCTTCCGCACTCCATGAACTCCATTTAGTGTAAGTGAAAAGCTGGAAAACGTGCATCAGAAGAGACGAATATGCTAAAAATATGCACATAATATGAAGCAATATGCAGATATATGTAAAATGACTTGAACCTTTGTCGAGATAACGGAGAAAAAAGTGTTTTATTTGCATAGCGACACCTTTAAGAATTTTTCAATTTAACAGTTATTAAAAATGCATAAAATTATTTGCACCGAGAGTGGAAAAAAGTCAAATCTTGCGGAGATAAACGAGCGGCATTCTTTAATTGCAAATCGTAAAACTCATTAGTTAGAGTTATAAAGCGTTATTTATTGTCTGCTATTTATCAAGGGAACAGAGCGAGAAAATGAAAACGAACAAGAAGGCTTAAATTTTATTACTGAAAAACAGCTTAAAATTAGAAATAATCCGTTTATCCATATAATATATTAAATTAATATATATTATATATATTAAATAATAATGTTATTGTATAGGTATTTATGGTAATTCATATAATTTAGTTCATATTCCACGACTCTTCCCTGTATGC